GAACAGTAACTCAGAAACCATCAGGACCAAGATAATTGCTTTTTCTGGCTTATTTGTACTCTCAATTCAAAATTTCTAGAAGAAAAATCTGATTGGCACTGTTAAAGGTTATGGGTCAATGGTCAGCCAATGAATTGGAGACATTTGAATCAGGTCCCCGCTGGGGCAGATACCAAGATCAGATGCAAGATTATGAAGCATGCTGGGCTGCCTACTTCAAGGGACATAGATATAGGTACTTAGAAACATGTCTGTTATACTTACCAGATGCTTGAAGCCTTCTTGATTTTATGAAGTTGTTAAATTCTCATGATTATACTGTGTTCCAAAAGACAGAGCAACTGAATGTTTCAGATGGAAAAAATGTAGGTAACCCTTACTTAACCTGTTTGAAAAGCTGAGTTTCAACTGCTTTCCCTCATACACAAAATTTTATAGCCTTAGCTCTAAATGTAACTTCATGCCAAAATACATGCAATCAGTCTTTACCACATTAGTTCCTTCCCTCATTCAGGGGTCCAGATAAAATCTGAGGCCTTTTCTCTCTTTGGAGGCTCTGTGGCAAAAACATCTACTCAGCTCTGTCTCACATGACCTCACTTTTCCACATTGAACCTCTAGGCCTGTCTTTCTCTAATTACCTCCCAATAATTACTGATTCCAAATTTTCATTGTTGGAAGTCAAATTCTTCCAAAGACAAAAAGAAAGGATTAATGAAAGTTAGCTTTTCTTAGCATGAGAAACACTTCAGTAGTCAAGGGAAGGATATGGTCATGACCATGATATGTATCCTGTCCTCTAGAGAGAAGGCTCAAACACAAACACAAATACTTATTCTGTGGGGCAGAGAGGTTTAAGTGCCACAATAATACACTAAAGCAGAATCATCCTCTCTGGAGGGAGGTAAAGTCAGGAAAGTCTTTGCAATTGTGGCAAGTAATTATTGGGCTGGGCGTCTGAGGGCAGAGGATGATTTGCATATTCAGTGCTGGGCTGCAGGTGGGCACATGGATTCTGAAATCCTGAGCATAACCTTTGTTAAGCTCTAGCACCCCTTCTCAGGACCAGTTTGTTCACTGCTTCTTGGCTTAATTTGCAACCGGCCTGTGTTTTAACGTTCCTTGGTTAAAACAAACAAAATCCCACTATCAACTTACCAGTGCACTTTTGGGAATTATTATCTTAACTGCCCGAACCTTCTCTAGAGACATCCTAGAATGAAGAGACTGTTCCTGCAGCCCTCTTTCCCTCGCTGCCTCTGCTAATATGAAATAAGCATTGGCTGTTTTCATAATCACGAATGGTCCAGGTTGACTTCTTCCTGGGATGGTAACTGAAAAGTTCCCTCAGATTTCTGCTGTTTACATTTGTTCTTGAGGGTGGAGCTCACCAAACTTCCTTTTTTCTAACCTTCCGAACTAGCCCTGAGCTTCTCTACCTTCCCCTCTTCCTACACAAACTTCCCAGTGACTAGACCCACCCAGGTGATGCAGCCACAAGGAAAAAGCTCCCCTACTCAAGTAGATCATTTGCATTTCTATAGACCCTCCAGGTGGGTGGCAAGGGCCTCTACCCTTCACTGGAAATCTGGAATCCAAGCTCTGGAATTTGCAAGAGAAGGGCACTTTTTTTTTTTTTTTTTAAACAGGAGACGACTGGCAAAGGAATTCGGATTCTTAGGAAAATGAGCATCATCTTCACAGATGCTTGAATTGTTTTCAAACATCAGAACATTGGGGCTAAAAGAAATAGAAGCCTGGAGAAATTCCCTACAGATGGTGTTTAGGTGAAAGAAAATGCTAATAGATGAAGATGATGTAGGATAGAAGGGAGTGCTTTTACAAAAGGTCAGGTATTGAAGGTGTAGGGGAAAGATTGTAATACATGACCAAGGAGAAATTATAATCAGCAAAGCAAAATGGTGGAGGGTAAGAATGACCATGTTTGAAAGCACAAGGGGAGTCTGAGCGTTGAAGAGAAGGGTGGGCACCCCTACTCAGCCAGACCCAGTGTAAAAATTGAGACTGAGGTTTAGGAAAATCAAATTGAGGAAGCTCATGGCGGATGCCTCAATTAAGTATGAAGCAAATTTGTAACTGCACAACCAAGGTGTCCAGGCTGCCTGTCACTACTTGACCAATTAAGCAAAACTGTATTGAATAATATTTGAGCACTTATTCCAATATTGCCCGCAGCATGGGAGAGCAGCAGGTCATTTGCAAAAATCTGCTCTGCACCCTACCATAAACCAGCTGCTTATGTTGGATAGAAGGACAAAGATTATGTGGGAAGTAGGAATTACAGGCAGGGGAAAGTAGGCACAGGATAATCAGCACAGGCTACAAGTCATGTGGGCTGGGTGGGGTGGGGAGGGGAGAAGGGGCTGGCAGGAGGGTGGGCACCTCTGGAGCAGATTACATGTAATAGGGGCAGGGTGTTGTAAAGAGCAGGTGCCTCCAGGACTAGATTGTTTTGGCCACGAGATTGTAAATCTTTCCATAACGATAGATGGTTCTTGGAAGGAGGATGGACTGCATTCTGATGTTAGCTCCCTGGCCTACAACTCTCAGCCAGGTTAGAATGTGCTTTCTCTAATCAGTACAGAACAATCATGGTTAACAGAGCATGATTAATATTTCTTATCATTGTAGCTGGTCCCCATATTCTCTTTCTGCCCCTAACAAATTCATTTGCAGAACTGGAAGAAGACCAAGTATAATGGGGGTTTAAGGACAGCAGAAATAGGACAGGGTTGGGACGTGTGCCCTGGATAATCAATCACCTTACTGATAAAAGGATTTTAGAGGATCAATGAAGACCCAGCCAAGGCTGAAAAGCATAAATTTTCAGTGGAACAAAAATTTTTTAACTTTATTCAACAATGCTTGGTAGTACAGGAGCAAGTTCAAAAGAAAGCTTTCAAATGAGCATAATGGTTATGAAAAAAATGTTAAATGGAAACATTTTAGGGACATTATTCATAATGGATTTTAGTAACATTTTAAATTACAAACATGAAATGCATGATATCAAAACACTCTTCAAACATATGACCTGATAACAACACAAAAAGAAAAGATTACTGGAGTAAAAAGATCAATTGGTTCTTGTTTTCTTCTTTCGATGCTAGCCTAAGGCAAGAAAAAAGGAAAGTTTTTTTCTTTGGATTGGACACATCTTCCTTTCATCAGTATTATTACATTAAAAAAAAAACCCAAATCATTGATATCTTATTAGTGTATCAGGGAATAAAAACTTTACACTTCTCTTACTAATCTTTGAATAGAACTTAAATATGAATGTACTCACCAAGGAAACTAGCAAAAATCTATATAAAGCAACCCATTTACTCTTAGTACATGTTAACCCCAGCTTATTGCTCTAAACTAATCCCCACCCCCCACACACACTAAAGCTTGTGGCCCTAGCTGGTTTAGCTCAGTGGATAGAACGTTGGCCTGAGGACTGAAGGGTAGGGGACATGCAGGAGGCAGCTGATCAATGATTCTCTCTCATCATTGATGTTTCTATCTCTCCCTCTCCATTCCTCTCTGAAATAAAAATATATAAACACACACACACACACACACACACACACACACACACACACACACACACACCTAGAGCTTGTGTATGGTGAAGGCCTGGGGAGTGGCAGATACAGAGTGGAAGGGGTAAATGGGGAAAAAGAGGGGACTTCTGTAATACTTTCCACCATAAAGGTAAATAATAAAAATAAAAAAAAAACACCACCAAAAACCTAAAGCTTGCATGTTAGACTTATTTTTAGTATAATTTACAAGGATCTGCAGTTTTAATTCCTGTGTGAATCTAAGGAGTAGACTGACTTTAAAACACCCGGCCCCAGGAAGTCAGCTGACAAAAGCCAGGTGGCCCACTCATGGATGCTGACCATAAAGATCCATAATCAAAGTCTACATGAAGGTGCCTGCACATCCTACACAAAATCCTACTCTAAGAAAAAAAAATAACTTTCTTAATTAAATAACATATAATGAACTATATTTCTCCACGAGTTGGGAAACAGGATGTATGCCTTAAAATAAAGGCCTTTTTTGAGCATATTGTAGAAACAGGTTGTTCTGGATACTGCCTGGGTCTGGGTGGCTTGATCACAAGACTTCAGATGACATTAAAAATCTATATAGGGTATTTATAATTTCCAAAATTCTATTAGCTTTTTCTCACAATATAGTCCCTCCAACTTGAGGGGCAATAACATAAACATAGTCTTCCTTACTAAAATATTAGTATACCATAAGAAGGAAACTAAGAATTTTGGTGGCTATATGATAGAACAATATAATGCTTGAGGGCCTAATGTATTCATGAAGTTCCACTTTAATAGCCAGTATCTAAACATGAAAGTTATTTACAAAAAAATTGGTATCGACAAATGAACACAAAGTAACTTTAAATCAAAGCTTGTTATTAAAGCACCTGATTTTTTGTGTGCAGTGATTCTATGGCTCAGTGTTATCAGATTTAGAGGTAAACTGGAAAATACCCAGAAAATAAAATCCATCAACTGTAATCTATTTCCTCTACTCCCTTGTGAAACCATTAGAAGTATGGATTTACTCTGTCATCCGCGTCTTTCCCCACCTATAACCTTTAAAGGGAAAGAGCAAATACCTGTCAAGCTCATAGTGCAGAATGCACACACAGATGGGTGTTTAATAAATATCTTTCAACAGAGAGATTAGAGGTTTGCTCTGGGAAGCAGGGAACACATTATCTTAAGTGTTAAGCTGATGACATCCATTATACAATACTTCAGCCTGTTTCTTTACCGAAATATTATTCAAAGGAAATCCTTTTTTGAGTATCCTTTAGGTAGGGCTATAAGTTTGAAGAACCAAAAATTTGAGGCAAGATCAGCCCCAGGGAAGGGCGAGTGGTTGGGATGAACCAGGAAAATTCAGGAGTTTCAGTGAGGTCAGGAAGCAGCGATTTAAGGGATGGGGTGCAAACTCACCTGGAGACGCAGAAGCTCCACACATATCAAGGATCAAAGGGCATAACCTTTGGGGCTCCCCAGCCCCGGAGGGGGGGAGGGGGGGAAGAAGAGGGGGGAGAAAGTGGAATACTCACTCCTAGGCTCTTCCATTCAAATATTCCTCTAGAGGGGGCTCCGCTGTTCCCACTTCTGACGCCAGGGGACAAACCCTACCTTTCACAGGTGGCACTGACAGAGAGGCAAAGCACACGCTACTCCAGATTTCGGAGCCAGCTCCCGGGAAACCCCAGCACTTCTTTTCCCCCGACCGCCTCCCGCCGCGTCCCAAACCCTCACTCCACACCTTTCTCCAGGCCCTCTCCCTCTCCACAGCATCGGTCTCTATGGCGACCTGAAACCGCAGCTCCCATTGGCCCGTTCAATATGAGGGCCGGGCCAATAGGGAGGGCCAGCCTCTCCTTCCCGACCAATCGGGTTGGCGGAGGCCGGGTCCGGGGACGGCGGCGTGCTGACGTTCCCGGGAGTTCGGGGCTGGCTGGGCCGGCGGGCTGGCGGCTGGGCGGGCGGCGGCGGCGGCGGCCTCTGGGCAGTAGAGGGGGCTCCGGCACTGAGTCCGTGCGGTTGCCGGTCCGGAGGCGGCACCATGGGCACGGGGTAGGGGGCGAGCCGGCCGCCGCCGCCGCCGCCGGGGGTGGTGGGAGAGCCGCTTCAGGGGAGGGGGCGGGTGGGGGAGGGAGGGGGCGGACGGACGCTCGCCCGCGGCACTTTCCCTAATCTTTTCGGGTGCCGCAGCGGCGGCGGCCGGTCGGCGCGGATGTCCCTCATCCCCGGAGCAGCGGCGGCCTCTGCCTAACCCAGAAAGTAAGTGCGTGCGGCGGGCTGGCGGGAGGGCGCGGGGCTCCTGCCCGCGGGCCCCTCCGCCCCGGCGCCCCAGCCGGGACCTGCCTGCGAGCGGGGCGCGGGCGCGGGCGCCTCCCTCCCGTTACCCCGTCCCCGCCGCCTCGCGGCCGCCTCGGCTTTCCTGCCCCGCCTCGTGTTCCTGCCCGCACTCGCCTGCCTGCTCCCCTCCCCCCGGCAGGCGCACAAGTTTCACCTCCATTTGCTTTTCCCGGTGATTGCTCTCCTCTGGGCTCCCCTTACCCGGCGCGCATGACACCCCCCCCTCCCAACACCTCTTCCCCCCCAACCCGCGTTGGCCCTTTCGGGTCCGTAGCCCCCCCGCCCCGAACTTGAGCACCACGCCGAGCCCTCCTGGACTTGTGCCCGGAGGTTCCCCGCTGAAGGTTCCCCGCTCCTGCCCGCCCGCCCGCCTGGCACTCGTGCCCCCGGCACCCCGAGGCGCCCGCCTTCCCCGGCCATCGGGGCCGTCTGTCTGTCCGTCCCTCCTCCCTTTCCTCGCACGTCTCTGCTGCCTGCGCCGTCTCGCGTGTGGCCTCCTCTCCCCCTCCCCCGAGCCCCGCGCCCCTGCCCGCCCTGTCCGAACCCCGCTCTGCCCAGGGCGCCCCTCTCTCCTCGCGGGCGGCGTGTGTTCGCGTCCCGCCCCTCCGGCTCCCAGCCTCGGGCTGCCCCGGCCCGTCCTGCGCCACCGCTTCCTCCTCTCCCGCCGCCAGGAGTAGAAGCGATTGGGGTGTCCTTTCCCGGCGCTGGGGCTCTTCCCCTTTCCCCTCTTCCGGGGAAGCCCGGGGGCGAGCGGCGGGCCGGGGCTTGGCCGGGTGCTGCTGGCTCGAGTGCGACAAACAGCGGGTGCGGGCGGTCCCTGCGGCGCGGCGGCGGCGGCGGCAGCGGCCACTCGGGGCGCAGCTAGAGGCAGGTGTCTGTGTCAGGCTGGGGGTGGGGGACACGCACGCCTCGGGGCTCCGGGGCTGGCGACAGATTGTGCAGGAATGCGAGGAATGCACCAGAGGCAGAGCCCGCAGGGCCCGCCGCGGCCGCACTAGCGAGCGCCTTCCTTTGCCCGGCACCCGCCGCGCAGCCAGAGGTCACCGGAGCATCTTCCGAGCGAGCCGTGAGGTGCACTGACTTCTCTCCTCCCCTTGCCTCTCTCCATGCGGCAGAGGGGGCAGCCGAGGGGAAGCGCAGCAGCTCTTGTGTTGGGCTTCAGCTAGCCTTTCGTTTAGGGGTTTTTGCTGCATTGGTCTCCAGGACCGTGAATTTGGGGCTTTCTGGCAGTGTAGCCAAGGTTATTGATCATTGCCCAAGATTCTTGGCAAGTTTGGTTTGCAAGGTTTGAATTGTGCCTGGTTTATTTTTCCCCCACCAAGGGTTTTCTGAAAAACCTGCAGGAAAGGGTGCCGAAGGTTCTTAGAGCGTGCAATGAGCTTGCAGCTCTATCCAAAAATGCCTGTTAATGTTCATGGACAGGGATGTAGTGCAAAAGAGATCTTGAATGCATCACTTTGCTGTCGTAAGAATTGTGAATTTTTTTCTCTCATCATACTGGGTTGTGTTTAGACCTCTTATAATACATAATGAATAGAAACAGAGAAGCAGTGTTTGGTCAGCGATGGGACAGATAGAACTGTCTGGTACAGTTAAATTCGGGGCGTGTCAGTTACCATCGAAAGTAACATGGGGACAACACAGTCATGTATATTTAAAGATGTAATTTATTAGTTGAAGTCGCAGTTCTTTTTCTCTTGGTTGCTGCGTTTGAAAAATAATATACCCCTACAACTTTAAAAAAAAAATGGTAATTATGTGTAAATGCAATACTGGTTGCTATACATTTTTTGGTCAAATTTTATTTTCTTTAAAGCAGAAAGACAAATGTATGACTGAGGATGCTTTTCTAGAATTAGGCTTAGATACTTTTCTTTTAAAAAAGGGAAAATAAAGGACTGTTTCTCGTTCTGAATGCAGTATATTGCTGGTTCCTGTCAAACAGTTATGGAAAATGGCATTATGAAAACGAGGACAACTGGCATTCAAAAGAAATGTTTCTGGATGTTGAAAAGCATACTGTGTGTGTGATACAGTTTGCTTTGGAGGTTGAGTTTACTGTAAGCCTCTTCATACTTGGTTATTTTGTATTAGATTCAGGAATATAAGTTGATTTGCTCAGCTGCCTTCCAACACCTACTTTGCTTGGATCAAGGGCATTGAAAAGTATAAGATAATCACCTTTTAGTTAAAGACCTAATGGGAAGGAGAAATAGGAAAGAAAAACACCTTTGCACTGAGAAAGGTTGTGTTTTCTGGCTGTTACATTGTTTTTCAGGTATGTCCATAGGTAAGTGAACCTGTGGACCTTCCAATTTAGAGGTTTAACTCTTAAATCAGCGATTTTCTTTTTTAAAAATATATTTTATTGATTTTGTACAGAGAGGAAGGGAGAGAGATAGAGAGTTAAAAACATTGATGAGAGAGAGTCATCAATCAGCTGCCTCTTGCACACCCCCTACTGGGGATATGCCCGCAACCCGGGACCTTTCAATCCCCAAGCCTACGCTCTATCCATTGAGCCAAACTGGTTTCGGCTAAATCAGCGATTTTCAACCAGTGTGCTGCAAGAATTTTTAAAACGTGCAATACCTGAATATTTAGTCAGGGTTACTGACAACTTTATTCCCCTTAGATTGTCAAATTAAAGAGGAAAAAAAAAAATGACAACAGCTAACACAATAGCCTTCCAGTGTGAAAGAATCAAAATTGTACCTTTTTTTTTTTTGTCACATTGGTAAAAAAATATATATATTTTGGTGTGCTGCAGAATTTTAGTAATTAGTTTATGTGTGCCATGAGATATAAAGGTTGAAAAATCTCTGCTCTGAATTATAGTTAGCAACACTGTGCAGGATATTGGGAGGTGTTTGTAGATGCCAACAGGAACTATATTATGTAACAGTATATTACAGCAGAGTTTAACATGTGCTAATTTGATTTGATGTGAAGATTAGAAAGTAAAAGCACATTTAGTTTCTTTATTACATTGGAAATTGAAATAACCCCTTCGAGTATATAGTTAATGTATACACAAGATTGGCTGTGCAAGTAGTTTTACTCATTTAAGTAAAGTTGGGCTTTCAGTTAGAAATACATTTTCTATGTTATACATATTTGAAGAAAGGACGTTTTAGAACAGGTTCACAGTCATAAACAACAAATTATGCTTGACCAAGTATGTTACTTCCCCATCCCCCACTGTTATGTAAGGAAAAGGTGTGGCATTTCATGTTTTATGTCATATAGAAGGTTGCAAATAGGGGGGACTAAGTGTCCAGTTACCTTAATTCTTATCTGTATGTTTTTGGAGGGAGATAGAGGGGAATAGAGTTGTGATTGAAAGCATAAGAGAAGGTAAATAGAAAGGGGAGTAGTTAGCATTCATCCAGAGGAAAAAAAGCATGTTAATTGCTACATTTATAGGAATAAACCAAATCTAATTCTGTGACTAGTTCTAATATCATAATTTGAACTTAAAGAATCTACCGTTTCCATGAAAATAAGACAGTGTCTTATATTAATTTTTTCTCCCAAAGTTGCGTAGGTCTTATTTTCAGGGGATATCTTATCTTTCCATGCACTAGGTCTTTTTTTCGGAGGATGTCTTATTTTTGGGGAAACACGGTACTACCTAACTCAGTTTAATATAACCTTTAGCAATTGTAAGATCTGAGTATTTGGATGAAGTCTATATTAAGTCAGACATGCAATTTTCTTTCTTATTCTGTTCTATACAAATTGGAAAATAAATTTAATTAAAAATTCTACACATACTTTTAAAAAATCCAATTATTGCCAATTTTAAAACTGAATGGTTTCCTTGCTATTGACCAGTTATTGATTTAAATACAGAATTTTCATACTCTGGATGGTGCCATTTATTTGGTAAGTCCAGCCCTTCACCTTAATTATTTAAAATATTAAGATATTTTGAAAATGCTCTATATTTTAATTTTTATTTCAATCAAGAGGTAAATCCCTAAATTGCTTCATTCTAAAATGGACATCATTGCCGGGACCGGTTTGGCTCAATGGATAGAGCGTCGGCTTGGGGACTGAAGGGTCCCGGGTTCGATTCCGGTCAAGGGCATGTACCTTGGT